GTGACGCAACATTGGCACGAGACACACCCGAGAACTAGCACACTTCAATTTCGTCGTTGGAATCTCATTTTCCGGCCCAAAGTGAGCCTCCCTTTGACTTTAGGAAGTTTTGTGTGCATACCTGACGTCGCCTCCTCCATCACGGACACTCCGCCCGCGGGTCATCTGGCCAACCCTGCTGCGCGAGGACAATATTCCACTCTGGCTGAGCTCCTTAGACAAACCATCAACTGCACAAGCGCACACAACAATGCACACGGACACGCACTGGCGTGCATAAATTAACATCAATTGGCCAGCTGATGAGAAAGCATACATTACTTCGAAATTGGCGCCAATCACAAGTTAATTTATTCACAACAGTTAAGATTACCTTGCAATTGAGGAATGCATTAAACATTGCCACAAGACTGGAGGAGTATCGGCCGACGGTGACTAAATCCGTCAAGTTGGAGCTGCCAGAAAAGACACTATAACGGAGACACTGAAGAATGAACTGCTCGAGACGCGAAGCCGGAACCAGACATTCATAGCGAAGCCTGATACCGACTCCCAAGAGCTATAAAACACGTTCACACGCAATTCCACAAACACATACACACGCACGCACGCACGCATGCACGCTCGGCAACCCACTCGTAACTCCGACGCTGCGTACAAAAAGGGGGGATTTGAACCTGTGTCCCGTCAGATCCGGCCGGCCGACACAGAATGAGCCTCGTCGAAGGGTAACACAGGCGAGATGACCTTTTCAGAATGTCTAAAATGGTGGACAACACCATGTTTTAGGCTGTGGAGACGGAGCGAAGAAAGAGCATCGAGACAAAAGCAACCACTAGCATCGTCCAGGTGTATAGGCTGTCTGGATGGTGTCTAGACGGCTAGTCTTCGAGGCCAGAGAGGATATTACAAAAGTTATTCAAAATATTCCAACTCATTCCTCTAACTCTGCTGCTTTGTATGTCCTGCAGGCCTAGTGAGAAGCAGATTTGCCAAGATGGCCTGTTTTTTCAACCCTAAAACAGCCCGGCTGCTGAAGAAAATTTCATATACGGTTTATCACACGTCTAAACACAAACATGCTCAAACAATCACACAAATCAGGATACATCAAGAAATATAACGCTTTTCGCATCCGCTGCTTCGATCCTTTCTGTTGCTGCACAATGGAGGCCTCCAACACCGTATAACAAACAACCATGTGCTCTCATAGACACCCACCCACACAGGCATACATACAAATATGCAGACAGACGAGCATCTGCATTCACAGACAGCCCCCTTCAGTTCTTTCAGCAAACGCTCAAACACACAGACTCAAGCATGGGTGCTAACACAAGTGAAATATACATTCGCATAGAGACGCTCTACATACATTGCTCTACGGCGTACACATGCATACGTACAAATGGATATACACATAGGAATACGCGGATGTACATGCCAAGGGGGAGCCTAATAATGTGGCATACTATGCCATATCTGCTCACACCATCGGTTTTTTACATCTCAAATCGGCCCCTAGAATCACACAATTCCAGCCTCCTCTGTCCCGCTCACATCCGGCCTGCGGGATTAGAGCCGCAACGACTTGCACTCATTTCAGTAAGTGGCCGGTCGCTCAATCACACTTTCCCACGCGGAAGAGGGCCAAGGGTATGGCATTGGGTCAGCGCGTTGTAGTCATACCACTATGACGAGACATTGATAGGAGAAGCGCAATAGTGTCTGGCTCATATGAGAACTTCATCCGCCATATTATATTAAGGTTCTTTGTGGAAACAGGGCTATGCGAACTTCAATGGGAGCATGG